GTAGGCTTTACAACAATATCGTGTCACCATCTAAGCTGCCCCCCAAGGCAAACTATTATCTTTTCAAGGTAGAGCTACACCTCGCGCTAGATACCTCATGCTCGCGTGCTTATACATCGGTTCGCAGGATGATATCATGCCCGCGTGGGAGGATGCAAGTAACAAGGATGGCGGAAAATGGAGTGTGCAACTCCCCAAAGAAAAGAATCGCGCTCGCATTGATGAGATGTGGCTTTATACTGTACGCCAAAAAAAAAAATCTTTCGTTTAATGCTCCAGACCTGACATACCGCATTCAGATGCTCGCTGCGATTGGCGAGACGTTTGACCCCGCCCTCTCCAAGGCTGACAAGGAGTCGGCAGAGCCGACACCCGCTTCTCTTATTAGCGGTGTCATCGTTTCGTCGCGTCCTCAGTTTTACCGAATATCCATCTGGACGCGCCTTGCTCCTGGGATGGTTAGCGGCACGCCTAACCTAGGAGAAACCGAAGAAGAGTTGAAACAAAGGATTGAAACAATTGGGAAGCGCTTCAAAACTGACGTGCTTGGCTTCCAGGAGGCCCAGAGGTTGGGCGGTCCCCTCGCTACCGAAGTAGAGTTTGCGAGCCACAAGGAGAGCGAAAGGAAGGGATCGAAAGGGAAGAAATGGGTTATTTAAGCATTTATTCTGGTACGAGTTATGTCGAGTCTATTGCGTTCTGCTTTGAATATACATTGTGGCTATTTTATGTGATTTTTCTGCTTAGGCACGCGACCGATATCAAAACTAAGGAAAAGTTCATTAAAGGATTCATATAAACTACAACGGGTTCATAATCAAGACGTTTGGATCATATCAGCTATTTAGAAGTCGGCGTATGGTGGAGGAACAGTCTTGCCATCCTCCCCAGTCTCACCCTGCCCTTGTGCCTGCTGTCCTAGAAGGATGCGCTCCCTCTCCTCCCTCTCAAGACGCGCCTTCTCTTCCTCCGCGGACAAGTGGCCCCCTCCGGAAGTAGAGCCGTGCAACAGACGTTCGCGCTCTTCCCTCGCCAGTCGAGCTTTCTCTTCTTCAGCCGTCTCATGTCGCGTTGCGCCTGCGAACCCTGGAAGCTGCTCAGTCTCGGGAACAGTACCCGTCTGAGGCGCGGTACCGGCAGGGGGTATGCTTCCCGCGCCAGGGCCAGCGGCAGTATTGCTTGCAGGAGGCACGTTATCACGGCTCAGACTTCCGGTCTTGGGTCCTGGTCCACCAGCCCCAGCCGTCAGAGGTACGCCGGTCTCGGCCATTGTGATATGACT